ACTGGCACAAGGCCCACTTTCCTTTATTTTCAGAGATACTGCCATTGACACACCTGAGCTGGACTGGGAACCTTGAGTTGTCTTATGGCTGCAATAAGTGATTAGTGTCAATAACCCCTTTCCTCCTTCTGATTTCCTCTTATTTTCCCACATGACTCCTCTTTCATGGTTATTCAATAAATGCTTGAATGCATGCATAAATGAATGGAAGATTAGACTGGTCCAAGTTAGGATCTAGGACTTTCACTACACTTTTTATTAGTTAAGCCAACAAATTCCCATTAAAAGAAGAAGCCCTATTTCCATCAATTAAAGTTAAGATTGTACCTGGGCCTTTTCCTGATCACATAAGTCAGTCTTTAGAGTGAGGTCCACTTTGTATCTTCTCACCCGTCATCTTTTAATATATATACTCTTGGGAGGCTAAGGTGAGTGGATTGCCTGAGCCCATGGGTTCAAGACCCATCTGGGCAACTTGGTGAGACCTCATCTCTACAATAAATTAAAAAATCAGCTGGGCGTGGTAGCTGATATACCCATAATATCATCCTTTCCAGTACTAACCTTACCTCTACAAATCATGGTAGCCGGCTAAAACAAGGAATCACAGGCTAGCCATGCACGGGGGCTCACACCTGTAATCTCAGCACTTTGGGAGGCCTAGGAAAGAGGATCACTTGAAGCCAGGAGTTTGAGATCAGCCTGGGCAACATAGTAAGACCTCGTGTCTACAAAAAAATCAAAAAATTAGCCTAGCATGGTGGCACACACCTATAGTGCCAGCTACTGGGGAGGCTGACACAGAAGGATAACCTGAGCCCAGAAGCTGGAAGCTACAGTGACTATGAGTGTGCCACTGCACTCCAGCATGGGAGACAGAGTAAGACCCTGACTCAAAAAAAAAAAAAAAAAAAAAGCAATCACAGGAGATGCCCCAGAGGAAGCTGACTGTCTGCTTGAGGATGCACAGATCTAGACACAGAAGTATTCAATAAAGGCATATCAGAGCAGGTAGAAGCATGTAAAAAGGAGCAATTAATTCTTATTGGCTGTGGAGAAAAGGTCTGTGGGGATTAGAGTGGGCTTCATAGAGGAAGATGTGTGGCACTGGGGAAGATTTTTTCCTAATCTTTAATTCCTTCATCTGTAAAATAATGATGATAATGGCACCTACCTGACAGAGATATTGGAAGAATTAAAGAAGACTGCATGTATAAAGTAGTTGGTTCTTGGTACACAATAAATTTTTATTAAGTGCTGCAGCAATTATAATAATACCATAAGGAGGAGGAAGAGGAATAAACTCATGATGATGATGAAGATGAAGATAACAATGATGGTTGGCTTGAGATTCTAATGGTGTGGCCAGGTTCAATGGCTCACACCTATAGTCACAATGCTTTGGGAGACCAAGACAGGAGGATAACTTGAGGCCAAGAGTTCGAGACCAGACTGAGCAACATAGCAACCCCTGCAAAAATAAAAAATAAATTAGCCGATGCAGTCTTAGCCCCTTGGGAGGCTGAGGCTCAAGGATTACTTGAGCCCAGGAGTTTGAGACTGCAGTGAGCTATGATTATGCCATAGCACTCCAGCCTGGGTGACAGAGTGAGACCCAGTCTTTAAAAAAAGATGTGAGCCAGGCTCGGTGGCTCAGCCTGTAATCCCGTGCTTTGGGAGCCTGAGGTGAGTGGATTGCCTGAGCCCACAGGTTTGAGACCCGCCTGGGCAACTTGGCAAGACCTCATCTCTACAATAAATCAAAAATTAGCCGGGTGTGGTAGCGTGCACCTGTAGTTTCAGCTACTTGGAAGACTGAGGTGGAAGGATCGCCGGAGCCCAGCAGGTCGAGGCTGCGGTAGCCGGGAGCGGCCACTGCACTCCAGTCTGGGCAACAGAGTGAGACTCCGACTCAAAAAAAACAAAAAGGATGTGAATTGTAGTCCTAGCCCTGTTACTTTCCATCTGCACATCTGTCAAACCTCTTAAGGTCATTGTGAAAATTAATGACAGGTGCAGTAAGTGCTCCAGATAGGTAGGTCTGGCTTAAAGGACTGCAGAGACACACACTCTACTCTGGAAAGGGCTCATCTTTTCCTGTGCTTTGTTGGCTCCCCCAGCCCTTTCCAGTGACTGGGACTTTCATCAAAGGGCAGTACCTTAGAGAAAAGGCTACATCAAAACCTCATCTCAGAAAGGAATCAGAGACTCATGAACAAGGTTGAAATAAGAGCCCTGACAGATCTGTAAGGCTGTGCAATTCTTCCTGTCCTTGGACTGGCCCAGCAACTTGCCAAGTGTGAGCTACAGCAAATCCTTAAAAGCAAGCCAGGCCCAGGTGGTTGTCTTTGGAGACAGCAGGACCCATGTGCCCCTCTCCACAGCTCATCTTGAAGAGAGAAAGAGGGAGCCTAGGGGAAGGAAGGTTACTAGAAAGAGCAAGGTCATCTGTCCATGAAAAGAGGAAGACAGAAGACCAAAGGCCAGCACTTGGAAGGAAAGAGAACACAGAACCAGAAAAGGAACACTTCAGAAGGAAAGTTGCTTCGCCATGGCTGGGGACTGGGGGCTAGGGGTGGGGGAGCGTGATTAAACACACAACAGGGATTCAGGAGACACTACAGAAGGCTCATTAGTGCTCAGACCCCGCTGCCACTCATACCTGAAATGAGTCTGGACCCAGAAACCCAGCACCGAGCTGAGCGGTGTGCATCAGGACTGAAGTACACAACTTAATCAGGGGCATGAAAGCAGCTGACAAATTAGAGTGTGATTTGTCATCATCTCAGAGCTCGGCAAGTGTTTGTCCCTGAAAGAATCAATACCTGGAGGGGAAAGGGCCGTATTTTTAGAAACTCCTGGATGGGTAATTTATTTCAAGTGAGTAGAGAGTTTATTTATATTGGCACCCCCACAGATCCGATGGACAGTAGATTTACACGAAACCAGAAAATGCTATCATTTCTTTGAATCAATTTGCCCCTTTGAACAGCTGTACCGTGAAGCTTTCAGTGATAAACTCACTCCCCATGCTAAAAGCTCTGCCCAGGAAACCATTTCTGCGCCCACCTTTAGGACTGCTTCCTTCTGTTTGTGAAGCCTGGTACATTTCAAAAGTTTTCCACATAGATTCTGCTTTCTGAGGCACAGGTAAGATGAGGCAAGTAGGTGGTATTAGTCCCCTTCTACAGATGACGAGACAGGCTCAAGAATTGAAGACAGTATTAGTCAATGAAAAGGAGAGTTTGAAAGCAAGATCTCCCCACATCTATTTGTGTTTTACTCCCATTGGATTATAAGAACTTGAACAACTGAAAAACTTTTAAAAAGTAAAAAAATCAGCCAGGCATGCTGACTCACACCTGTAATCACAGCACTTTGGGAGTCCAAGGTGCAAGGATTACTTGAGGCCAGGAGTTTGAGACCAGCCTTGGCAACATAGCAAGAATCCCAACCCTACAAAAATAAAAATAGCTGGGCATGATGGTGCATACCTGTAGTCCCAGATATTCAGGAGGTTGAAGTGGGTGGATCACTTGAACCCAAGATTTCGAGGCTACAGTGGGCTGTGATTATTCCACTGCACTCTAGCCTGGACAATAGAACAAGACCCTATCTCATTTAAATAAAAAAAAGTAAAGAATCAAATATGTGTTTTAAAATACTTAGCAGCATTCACCAGGAAGCAATGTGCTGTGCAAGTAAAGGAAAGAAAATCTGCAGTAAGATACAGATTCAATTTCCAGCCCCAGTAAGACCCTGGAACCTACTTTGGAGTCACAGATTTCACATCTCTAAAGAGAGAAAAGTTCTCATCACAGTGTTTGGGAGAAATAAGAGTCCAGGAAATGCAACTTATTTTGTTCTATAAGGTACTATTTTCACAATATTTTTACAACAGCAAAACCAGTTGAAACAATGTGAGTATTCAGTGGTGAAGTGGTTAAAGGAAATACCTGTGCATTCAATAGGTTGAATAGGTTTCTGCACACCTGTGGACCAGATCTAGAAAAGCTTAATAACATGTAAACATGTTCAAGATATCTGAGCACTACATCTCATTTATGAAATGCCTAAATGTATATGTATGTACTGAAATAGAGGTGTGCATGGAGATATATGTTTTTGAGAACTCAGGAAGTATCACATACACAAGCATTTTAGCTGTGCAAATCTCTAGGTGGTGTGATTTCTTTTTTTTTTGTTTGAGCTGGAGTCTCACTCTGTCACCCAGACTGGAGTGCAGTGGTTGCTCCCAGCCACCGCAGCCTCGACCTGCTGGGCTCCGGCGATCCTTCCGCCTCAGCCTCCCAAGTAGCCGGAATTACAGGCGTGCGCTACCACGCCCAGCTAATTTTTTTTTAATTTATTGTAGAGATGAGGTCTCGCCTGCCCAGGCGGGTCTCGAACCCGCGGGTTCAGGCAATCCACTCACCTCAGCCTCCCAAAGGCGCGGGATTACAGGCTGAGCCACCGAGCCCGGCTTGGTGCTGTGATTTCTGACGCCTCCTTTTTGATCATCTATTTCCGTGGCGTCCAGTGTGTTAACTACTAGCTACATGTAGCTATTTAACTTTAAAATCATTAAAATTTAATTTAATTTAAAAACCCGTTCCTTGGTTGAGCTATTGCACTTCATGTGCTCAACAGCCACATGCAATCAGTGGCTTCCATATTGCACAACGCAGATGTAGAAGAGTCCACCATTGTAGTAAGTTCTGCTAGACAGCGCAGGACTAGAGCCCCTATCCTAGGCAGGCAGAGAAATATAGTTGGGAAACTGACCTCCCTCTGCCCTGCACCCAACTTTTCATTTCATCTATTTTCTCCTCCTTAATGAGGATTTAACTCTTTTCTTCTTACATATTACAACTGTCACAGTGTGACAAAACAGGATTACCTTATTTGCCGTGGTTCTAACAGTGATTAGCTATCCCCATGATCCTATTAAGACTAGATGTCTCTGAATTAATAACCTTACAGAGTCCTCTCTCTCCCAGGAGGGACAGTTCGAACCAGAACATTTCCACAATACCATCGTGTGTGAGAAACCCAACAACCACCTCAACAAATTCAAAGGTTATATGTAAGTATCTGGTGTCCCTGGACTGCTAGTAAATTTCTTCTCTGAAGCTAAAAAATATATGCTAGAAATGACCAAAGAGATAGACAACCATATCTTAAGAAAGCTTTTTTTCCTTTTATGATAAAGAAGAACTAGAGAAATCTAAGTTGGAAAATTTTCTTTTTTTTTTCTGAGAGTTAGTTAATTATCTTACAGGGTTAAATCCACCAGTGGTTTATTAGAAATAGAATCAAAATCAAGATAATGCTCTAATTCAGGGGAGAAAAATATTATTTAATTGAGATTGATTTTTTTTAAGTGCCTGTATTCCATCATAGGTAGGAATAAAGACTTTGGAGTTTGACAGAGCTGGGTTTGAATCAGAGTTCTGCCAGTTACAAGCTGTGTGACCCTGGGCAAATTAATTAACCTCCCTGGGCCTTGGTTTCCACATCTGTAAACTAAAGATTTTCATAACTTCATCAGAAGGTTTTTCTTTTTTAAGATTAAGTCGTTTAAGCACAAGTTGAGCTCTTAGCACAGCAACTGGCAAGGGGAAATAGTTATTGGTGACTGCTGTTAGGATTATTATCATTGTTATTCCTCAACTTTGGTTCAGTCTAAGTATTTTACTGTAATTCTGCCCCCGTGTCAGACTGCAGATCTTCCTACAAAATAAAAACAGTGGTAACAGATGTGAGTGAAGGCCCTTCCACAATGCATTAAGGGTGTTCAAGTATTTCCGCAGACCACCATTTCGTGTAATCTTCACATCCCAAGAAAGCCAGTATCATGATTCCCCTTTTCAGAGGGGGATTCTGATGATCTAAGACTATTCAAGATCCCCCAAAGTCACATTGCAGGTGCAAGATAAAGTCAGGACTCACACTGGGATCTTTTGACATCAACCCCAATGTGTTTTCGGTGGCTGTGCATTACAATGCTCAGCCATGCTATGCCAGCACCCCCATCAATGGGGCCCTGGATGGCTGTGGGTTGATTACTGGGCCAATGAATCTTGCATGGCTCACTACCATCGCTTGTGGCTTAAAGATCATTTTTATGATGCTCTGACTTGATAACCTACAACAGAGACTTCTACTTCTCCCAGTCATTATGTCTGTTTTTCAGTGGATGCTAGAAAAGGATTTGCTATCGTATAGTTGCTATTCTATTTAGTGTTCTTGGTTTACAGGGAGGCTCTAGTCACCTATTCACCTTTCCCTAGCCCAGCATTTCTCAACCTTGGCACTATGAACATTTCGGGCTGGATAATTCTCTGTGAGGGCTGTCCTTGCATTGTTTCATGTTTACCAGCACCCTGCCTCTACCAGCTCCAAGCAAGCAGCATTCCTCCCCAGTTGTGACCATCAGAAATATCTGCAGACATTGCCAAATGTCCCCAGGTAGGGATGGTGGTGGTGGTGATTGTCTCAAGTTGAGAAATACTGCTCTACAGAGGTTCTTTTATTTAAAGTTACGTTTTCAAGTCTGATACCCTTCAAACAGATTGTTAAAAGTTGTTCATTTTCTAGCTGGTCTGTACAATCTCAGGGAGCTTCTAAATTAATATCACCCACAGAAGCTTCTAGAAAACCCAGAGTCAACAGACCGGTAGGTTTGCTTAGGAAGAGGTTACAGACCATGTGTGGGTGCTAGGCCCAAGGGCATTCTCTTTGCCAGGTATAACAACAATTCAGGGCCACAGAGAATTCTCCATCATTCCATGACTAGCTTACTAGGCTGACCAATTAGAATTTGCAGACCCTTCCATGAGGCCCAGGCAGGTAGGGGAACAACAGGTCTCCAGGAGCAGCAACTAGGGAGAGGTGGTGCTGGGACCTGAGTGAAGCTGGGAAAATTCTATGCTTAAATCTGTCTGGGAGGGCCAGGCTGGAGCCCAGATGGAAGCTGAGAAAGTCTGACTGCAGGCACGAGCTTTTGAAGGAGAAGAGATCACATACAGAAACCCAGAATGAGATTGCTCTTTAAGAGAATGACTCAAGGCATGGATGATTTGGAATGAACTGAATCCACAAAACTCAAGCACTGGGGGTACATGCCTCTTCAGCGCAGGTGACAGGTTCTGCCCCTCCAGATGCCTGCCAGGAGGTCTTCTTCTGCCTCAGGACCCATGGAATATTTTGCTTGTTTTTATGTTCAATACACAGTGGGCCCTACACATTAATCATACTCAGACAACCTTTCTGATTTTTATTATATTCATAAAAATCTAGACATTTATCTACCACATTTTTAATTGCCTCTTTTTCTGTAGTTTATTTCAAAAGGAAAATTTACATCACTGGCCCTATAGGAAAACAGTAGCACTTGCTATACATAGAGAGTATTGGCAAGATTGAATACAATGAAAGCAAAATAGTTATCAGATTATTATTTGCCAAAGGCTCCTCTGCATTAAAAAGTAGGACAGACAAGGATAGAATAGAGTTACCACTATGCCAGCATGAAACAAAAATCTCCTTGATAGATGGTTCAGTGTAAGTTAATGGGATAGCATTTTAGACCCCCTGGTATGGTGAAACTCACAGCAGGGATGGTGTCTGTGGCCTGGATTCTCATGTCTTAGGATGTCCCGTGTATTAGGTGTATGACCTTGGACAGGCTCTCAGCTGCCCTGAGCTTCAGCTTTCCACAAGTACAATCACCCTGTTAACTTCCCAGAGCTACAGAGTCAAACAAAGTCATGTATGTAAATGTAGTAAAGAATTATTAGCATTAAAAAGCACATTGAGTGGTAATATAGCACTCTAGTACCAGACTTCCTAGGTTTAAATCCCCATTCTGCCTCATTTTTCTTATCTGTAAAGTGGTTATGATAACATGACCTATCATAAAACGTTGTTGTGAGGCTTAATTGAGGTATGTGGAAAAGACTTGGAAATCGACTTAGAGAAATGAAGTAAGGAAGAACTGTAAGTAGAAAAATTCAGTTAGGCACAGTGGCTCACACCTGTAATTTCAGCATTTTGGGAGACCGAGGTGGGAGGATCACTTAAACCAGGAATTTGAGACCAGCCTGGGAAATAGAGCGAGACTATATTTAAATATAGTGGGACTATATTTAAACTTGCCAAAAATCCCAAAGAAAATACATCAGGATGGATAAAGGGACAGATCCCAAGTAATAACTGGAGTATGTAGGACTCAGAAGTTTCTAGCATGAGATGGAAAATTGCAATGCTTCGTGAGACTAGAGAAAAGAGGAAAGTTGATCTCTGCTTAAGAAGCTGCCTCCAAAAAACTTGGGCAACCACTGTCTTCCTCTGTGAGGTCTGTGTGTTTGATGAAAGACTGAGCAAGTGACAGTCCAGAAGAAAGGCCAAGTAAGGGATGTAGCTCAGAGCAAGAGGAGCACACGACCTTGCCTTCCTTGCCTCAACTTACCTTCTTTTCCTGTCGCACAGTATGGAAGGCAGGGCTGTGTGGAGTTGTCCACAGACTTGAATGTTCAGCGTGTGCAGTGCTGGTCCCCAGCAACTGGGTGGGAATGAGCCTGGGAACACTACTCAAAGGGAACACCATGCCAGTCCTTGTAGGCCCAGAAGCCAGTTCCCCCACACTCTACCTCTAAAGCTATTTTGAGAGTGAAAGTTGAAGCTGTAGCTTTTCTTTCATATGGGTGAACAACAATTTTCTCAAGATGGACAAGTTCCTTCTAATGGTCTAGATACCAGCCGGACCTCCTAGGAGCAATGGAGAGATGCATTTGGACACCAGGGAGATTAGACTCTGAGTTACTGTCGCTCTTTGAAAAATAGGGAAGAGAAGGATGGCGTTCGCTCACCACTTCTAGTTTTGTGACACTAACTGGTGACAGGCTGGAGAGGCCACCAAACCACCCTGTGTTTTTTGTTCGTCATCTCCAGGGAGCATCCTGACCAGACCAGGACTGGCTTTGGCAGTGAGAGTCTTGTGCTTCGAGGCTGCACCATCAGAAACACCGAGGTGGCTGTTGGCATTGTCATCTATGCAGGTCATTTTCTCTGAGTAGTTTCTTTTGTCTGAATTTCCCACCTCCATCCCTCTTCCAAATTCATCTTCAATCAGTGGGAACTCACAAAAGTTCAAAGTAACTTCCCATTTGCTCGTGTAAGTTCCCATTTCACAGATGAGCAAACTGAGAATGAGAATCACAACAATTCATTCAGTCCTCCAGAGACATAAAGAGATTTCAAGTTAATATCACTCATCTGAACAAGACAGGGAGAGGGATTCTCACTCACCCCTGTGATTTTGTGACACTAAAAGCAGGATGACGAATATCTTCTTGAGCCTGTGAAATAACTTCACTAAACTTAAGTTCATCTTTGTGCCTCAGTTTCCTTATTGGTACAATGGGAAAAATATTTGTATTTGCTTCATAGAGTATTCATTAGGATCAAATGACCCAACACAGGAAAAGCACCTAGCGCCTAGCAAAGTGAAGGCCCAGTAGGTTTTAATTGTTGGTTTTCCTGTTGTAGTTTTACTATTAACATTATTTTATGCCTCCAACTTTGGAGACCTAACTCTCCTTTCCACTTTGATTCTGCTTCCCAATTAAAAAAAAAAAAGGTAACAGCAGCACTTCTCACAGTGAAATTTAAAGTCTTGCAGGACAGTCCTAAGGCCACTGTATCTCCAGGGCCTAATATCGGCACTTGGTAGATACTTGTTACAGATCTGTTGTTACATGAATAATTAAAAAATTATTCCACCATGGAGGACATCCAGTCTTCCTAGAGTGTCTACCTAAACAGGAAGACTCCAAAATACATTTCCCTCTGAGTCTTCCACTCACTGGGACACTTTGGAGTATTTTGCTTGTTTTTATGTCTCGTTTGGTCTGAGTAGAACCCCAATTTTGATGGACACAGAAGGGCATTTAAATATCCCTAAGCTTCACTTTTGGGGATTGTCAAAGAAAAAAACAGGTCTTTTTAAAAATAATGTGACAATTTAGCTAGCTTTCCCTAATTTGGGAGAGGGGGATGGTACTTGTCAGGTGACTTCTTTCTTTCAATGGTCTTTAGCAATGAATTTCAACACTCTCTGGTAGACCTAACAGCTACTGTTGTCCTGGGTCTCACCAGGAGGTGTCATGCTGCTTCCCACCCTATGTCTGCTTCCCAATAAAAGAAGAAAGTGAAGAAAAAAAAAAATCTCCAGCAATCTCTACCCCATCAAATAATAATAATAATGATAACCACATAGGTTTAGAGTTTTGCTACTCTGTCTACCTGAACAGAAGCAAAACCCTGAGTGGATGATGGAAGCTGAATATATCAGGACAGAGTTGAAGAGCATGTCAACTGTGGCTCCGGGGAGTCGGGTGGCCTGGGTTAAAATCCATTCATGCTCTTATGTCCCTGAGCGAGTTGGTTAAACATTCAATGCAAAACGTGTCTAATATTCCCACCTCAATGAGATTATCTGTGAAAAGGGCCTAATATAATGCCTGGAATGTATTAGACTCTCAAAAACATGAGCAAAAATGACACTAATTGTTTTATATTTGTTTGTTTTAGAGACAGGGTCTCGCTCTGTCACCCAGGCTGGAGTGGCTAATTTTTACTTATTTACTTTTGTAGAGATAGGGTTTAGCTATGTTGCCTATGCTGATCTTGAATTCCTGGCCTCAAGCAATTCTCCCGCCTCCTCCTCCCAAAGCACTGAGATTATAGGCCTGAGCTACATCTGGCTGACAAGAACTGTTTTTAGTGTTATTATCTAGAGCAGGGGTCCTAGGCCTTGGTGATAAGGACATTTTGGTACAGTTTATTCTTTTTGGCTGGAAGCTGTCCTGTCGGATGTTTGGCAGCATCCTTAACCTCTACCCATTAAATTCATCAACCTCTTCCCCAAAGCTGTGCTAACCAAAAATTTCTCCAGATGTTGCCAAATGTCCCCCAGAGAATAAAATCTCCCCTGGTTGAGAACAACTCCTCAGAGTTATCATTTCTCTTGATATTATCATTGGAGTCAAAGTCCCAAAAAGATAAAGGTCAAGTTGAAATTTCCTGAAGGAGGAGATCCGGTGCAGACATAGGTGCCAAGCCCCTACTGTGTACCAGAAACTAATTTAGCTACTTAGTGTATAATGACTCAGTCCCTTGCCTTCACACACATACACACACACACACACACACACACACACACACACACAATCATTGTCTCCCAGTTTTTAGATGAGGAATTGGGGCACAAAGAGATTCAGTCACCCAAGGTCATATCTCCTGAGATTAACACTCTGTTACCCAAATTCAAATATCTGCAGAGCTGAGCTCTAACTCTTGAGCCCACATTTTAACCACAATGTCATACTGGCTTCTCCTTGAACCCAACCCCTGCCCAAAAAACAGAGGGATCCCAGAAGGCAAGGAGCGGGTGTGTTGAGGGGGTGGTCCCAAGGTCCCTGGGATGGAGTGAGTATGAAAGGCAGGCAGAGAAGCAACAGTGCCATCAGTGCAACAGCCCGCATTCATCATGCTGCCGAAACCCCTCCAACTGCCTCAACTTGAGTCGAATTTTAAAAGCCTAGAGTTTATTGGCTCCTACTGTTTTGTTGTTACTTTAAATCCACAAGGCAACCAGCTAAATAGCATTAAAGTCATTTGCTTCTGGAGCTGATATATTGGTTTCCTTTAATTTTACACAGAAACTATGTTACTGGTGTTGTTTAATTCAACTGCCAAGGAGTATAGCACTGTAGTTAAAATTCAGCAGCATCCAAGGAGAGGCTCTAAAAACGAAGTCTCAGTTTGGCTCTTAGTTCCTAGCTGTGTGGTCTTGGGAACCATAGGTTAGTGAAAGGAAAAATAGATGAGGAAACTGAATCTTGAGTTCCCACTGTGAATTTATTAATTTATTCTTTCACCGTTAATTTATTCTTTCACTTTGGGCAGATCCCTTCTAGTCTCTAATCCTCAGTTTCCCCAACTGGAAAAGAAGATCATTAAAGCAAATTGGTAGTTTTCAAACTTTGTTATCCTTTCTCTGAACAAAATTTTGCACAAATCTCCAATATAGGAGTGGAGCTACTCAGGGTTAATGCTGAGGTGTGGTCGTTTGGTTCCTCCTACTATTGTGCCAACACCAACACCTTAGGAACAACCAAGAGAACAAGTAGGGAAACTACTGGCCCCAAGCACCGTCCTACCATGGGGCCTTTGCACATACAGTCCCCAGCCCCAGCCTAAAATTCTCTGCTCCCAACTCTTCCCCCTTTCTTCAATTCCCCCTCAAATGTTATCTTCCCAAAGAAGTTTTCCCTAAACATGCTTTCTAACACTATCTCTTGTCTGCCTTGGCCTTTTGTCTACTATTTATTATTTATTTCATGAGACATTAATAACAGTAGTTATATTTTTTATTTGTTTTCTCATGTATCTTCATCAGAATGTGAGCCATCCATCTCACCATCGTATCCTACCACTGGACCAAACAGCGCCGTTGTGTAGATTAGAAAAGGAAAGTCCTGCCTCAAAACAGTTTACTGTCACTGGTCAGAAACTTGTCATAGTAAACTTACAAATCTTTGGCAACCACAAAATGAGCAGTATCCCGTAGACTTGTACAGTGCACAACCTGTGCATGGTAGCTCTGTCAGTGCCCACCTCAGTGTCTGACATGCAGGGGATACTCAATGCTGACAAGTTGTATGAGGCCCTACAGCTGTTCTCAGTCACCGCCCTAAGGCAGGACAAGTTCAAGTCAAAGAATGCAGTCTCCCTTTTATCACAAGCTCTGTGAGAAGAGCCAAGGGTGCGGCCTGTGGCAGAGGTACGCAGGGACCGTGAAAGTAATGTTCTCATTTTCTCTCAAAGGCCATGAGACAAAAGCCATGCTGAACAACAGCGGCCCCCGCTACAAACGCAGCAAGATCGAGCGGCGCATGAACACTGACATCTTCTTCTGCATCGGACTCCTCTTTCTCATGTGCCTCGTTGGAGCCGTAGGTATGGAATGTTCTAGAAAGAACAAGAACACATTAATCTTATACTTCGTTGGGCAAATTGCTTCATTTCTCTGTGCCTCAGTTTCCTCATTGATAAAATAGGGCCTTTAAAAAAAATAAAGCCTACCCTGCCTACTTTAATGGGATGCCAATGAAATGAAAATGTAAGGGGAAATCTCCTGAAAGTAGTTTGCACTCTTTAAATACCAGGAATATCATCTAACATTTATTTGGTCAAGAAATATTTACACAGACTCCAGAATTTGCAGCCTCAATTTTATAGTTTGACACTGGTCAGAACAGACGACATGAACCGCAAAGACTCACCGGTTCAGACAGATCTCAAAGGAATCTTCTCCGTTGGGCACAGAATAGTTTAAGTACCTTGATCTCACAAATAAACAATCTGACAACCAAAAAGATTCTCTGTTCTCTCTCACCCAACAGAGACTAAGATCCCACCAGTCACTTAGCAGAGATCACCAGTGGTCAACTCATGAATCCAGGCTCCTAGTCATGGCTACTACGTACCCAAAGAGAAGGTCGTCCCTCTGCACAAATTAGACTCAAATGCACAGGCTTTCCTTGAAGCAATGCAGCCCAGCCTGACCTAGGTCTGATCCTCCATATTCATGGGCTGGCTATGGAATGGGACACAGAACAACATGCAAGTTAGACAAGTCACTAGCAGTCCTGGCCAAAAAAAAAGAAAGACTTACAGACATAGCAAAGAAGGATAGCAAGCTACATCAGTCACAGAACTGGTCCTCAGAGAGCTCATAGTCTAGCAAGAAGAAGTTGAACACATCAACAGAATCGGTGGGAGCTGCACACAGATCTGTATTTGTTTCCTCTTGCTGCTATGCAACATTCACTCACCCTTTGTGGTTCAAAATAACACATATTTATTCTGTTACAGCCTTGGAGGCCAGAAGTCCAAAATCTGTTTCACTGGTTAAAGTCAAGGTATCAACAGTTCTGGTTCCTCCTTGAGCCTCTGAGGGAAGAATCTCTCCTATCTTTTTCAGCGTCTAGTGGCTGCCTGTATTCCTTGGTTGTTGGCTCCTTCCTCCATCTTCAAAGTCCACCACTCCAGTCTCTGTTCACATTTCCTTCTTCCGGTCTGCAGCAGTCTCTTCCTCCACCCCTCTTTTACAAGGACATTTGTGACTACATCATAGAGCCCACTGGATAATCTAGGATGCTCTTCTCATCTCAAGATCCATGACCTAATCACATCTGCAAAGTCCCTTTTGCCATATAAGATAGTGCATTCATAGGGGTCCAGGGGTTAGGATGTATCCTGGGGTTGCGGGGGAGCAGAGGGCGGGTTTTTAGTCTACCACAGGTATTATGGAAACACTAGTGAGGGAAGTCTTTCTTAGAGAGGTAGCTGCTAGAGCTGATGCTCAGATGGAGTAGACATTCGCCAGAGGAAATAGGTGGCAGAGCCAAGTGGAAGGATGGACCAGGCAGCTGTGGGAAAGAGAGAGAGAGGGGCCACCCTTAGCTCCAGGGACAGCTCGAGCAAAGCACAGAGGTAGGAAGAAGAATCATTTTGTGCAGAAGGACAGTTGGCTGTTTGGTGTGAAAAGAGTAAGGCAGAGAATGGAGACCAAAGCAGACTTGGTGTTGGCCTGAGTTCTGCAATTGGGTGAGTGAGGGGCCCTGCAGCAGGTGTAGACAGGAGTGCTCTTGAGACATTTAAGTTGTTCCTCTGAGAGTAGGCAAAGAGAGACCCACACTGAAGCTATCATCTCCTCTCTCCCACTATGGTTTTTGAAGAGACCCCAAAAAGAGCCAGGAACAACAAGAGGAAAAACTACATGCTGAGTCTGGAAAACCCTGCTGACCCCAAGCCCGTGAGCAGCAGTGCTGCTTGCTGTTGACTTGCTATAGTCAGAAACGCAGCCATTGCGGGTGCTAAAAAGTTAGTGTCTGAAAGGTTAAGAGCTTCCTGGGGCTCAGAGAGATTTTGTGTGCTACTATAGGGAGGATGATGGGATTTGGTCTTGTGGGTGGCCTGGAGTTTTTATTTAATTTGCTTCCCAGGTGTGTCTAGTGGCACTCCAACTTGAGAGCGGCTCACAGTTGTATGGAGGGCACCGTGGGGAGGGAAGAAGCCGGCAAATAGGAAAACTGTCATCCCACCTCTCCCCCACACCCACTACCTCCCTCCCCTACCCATGTGGTCCCCAGAGATGCTTCAGGAACAAGGACATTTGTGACTACATCATAGAGCCCACTGGATAATCTAGGATGCTCTTCTCATCTCAAGATCCGTGACCTAATCACATCTGCAAAGTTGCTTCTGCTTTCGGACAGGTTTTTTAGGGCATATCAGAGCTAAAGGGACATTCAAGATCATCTCACTGTATCTCCAGAAGAAAGGAAGTTAATGATTTAAAGTTCACAGAGCAGATAAGGCATAGCAAACCAGAATCAGCTTGGCAGATTCCCCAGAATAATAAATAAATGAAGAAAGTTCATGGGGAGGGGCAGAATTCTATTCTGTTTGAAAATAATGACTCACACCTAACAGGACTCTGCTGGTGCCTAATTAAAGCCCAGCCTTGAGGGAAGTGAAAGCTTTTGAATGAGCACCATTTCATGTTTACTTTGATTTTGTAAAGGTGGTGTTTCTTCTTTCCTTGCCCAGAATGCCCTCCCTTGGCCTTCCTGACCACTCAGCACCAAACCAGGATTCAGAATGCCTCACGTCCTCCTCCTCCATGCAGCCTCCCTGGCTTCTCCAATCCTCTATTTTGCTCCTCTGATGGCCAGTGGGCTTACTCTGTGCCATGTATTTGGCCTTAGTCATTGTCTCTATAATATTACCTACAAATAGTTTCACACTTGTTAAGTCTCCTTTCTTCTACCACTTATGATGCAACCAACCCAACCTCCTGGGTGTGGGAACATCTTTGGGCAGGGTATCATCCCTTATGCCTTTTATTCCCTATAGTTCCTATGCTGGAGCTGAGAGCATTTTACACATTAAGTTATTCTACTTCCACAATAACCCTATAGGGAAGGTGTTATTATTACTGAAAGAGACTGAGTGAGGTTCAGAGACCTCTGTGGCAGGTGTTGGATGCACTTCATCTTAAATAATCCTCAGATAATGGGTATTGTAATCTTCTTTGAAGATAAGGAAACAGAGTTCAGTCTGCATCTGGTATTGTTGCTATGGGCTGTCATACACTCCTCATATAATGTGTCCCTTTATGTGTAGCTTTTAACTTGGAAGGGAAATCCTCAAGGATAAGAACTAGGACTGACTTTCTGAATTAGTAAATGTTGAATAAAGGAAAGGATGAATGGGTGAGCAGAGATAGAAGGATGAATAGATGGATGGATGAATAGATAAGTAGGAGGGTAGATGAATGGGTGAATAGATGGGGAGATGCATACTGGATGGTAGAAGAAGGGAGTTTCGGGGACAAGAATCTCAAGACTTCCCACCCATGCACTTTATATTACACAACTAAAAAGAACATGTATCCCTTTTTCTCTTTCAAGACCCTATTTAACAAGGATTCATCAAAACATAAGCAATCTCCATGCCAATCTCCTCTTATAAGACAGACTTAATGCCTTTCAAGAGATTGAAATATATAATACTCAATGGTCTATCACAGAAACAAAGAACTGAGTACCACATGTTCTCACTCATAAGCGGACCTTGAACAATTATCATATTAAGAAAGGGATTGGCAGTAGTGGGAAACTGCCACGGGGTATACCTCATAAACAAGGGTATCTGCATAATGAAAATTTGTATACCTAGCCCTGAATTGTACCCCACATCTTTAAAATAAAACATTTAAAAGTAAAAAAAAAAAAGAAACGTATGGTGTATGAAGGACCACATTATAGCTAAATGAGCACACACACACACACACACACACACACACACACACACACCAACCTATGTTGTATGGAAGAAAGATGGATCCTCCAAAGCATAAACATTTCTAGAAATGGGTCAAAGGCTGATATAATTGACCAGCTTTACGACTAAGTGGAGATTCTGCCTTATCCCTGGTTTTGCCTCCTCTCAGGTCACAGCCTCTGGAATGGGATCTTTGAAGAACACCCTCCCTTCGACGTGCCAGATGCTAAGGGCAGCTTCCTTCCCCTTGCCGTTGGGGGCTTCTACATGTTCCTCACAATGATCATCCTGCTCCAGGTAGAAAGTCCTCCCTAACTAGGGGCCCAAGAAGACATGTGGTCAATATCCCTACAACTTTACCCCTACAACTTTCTTTTTGTAAAGAAAAAATTAGTGCTGGCCCCGAGAATGTACTAACTAGACTGAGATAAGGAGATGGTTATTGCTTTTTCTGTGGTTCTTGGAAAGTATCACATTTGGGGTAATATCAGGACCAGCCTTGCCTTATGGAGGGAACCCTGCATCCCAGATAATAGCTGAAGGAAAATATTTATCAGGTTTTCTATTTAAGATAACAGCAGTGACTCGGGTGTCCCTGTCCCTTTTCCAGATAGAGAACAGATAAAACACTAATGACCTAGGAACCAAAGAAGATAAAGTAGCTATACAGTGAGCTATAGAGAACTCTCATGCCCTTAACATCGAGAGAAAGAGAAACCATGAGTTAGTGTTTTAGCATTTGATAGATTGAAACAGAGAAGAACAGAATTGGCTTCATATGGGAGGAGAATAAAACAAAGAGAACACCTAAAAAATGTAATAAATGGGTAAAATGATGAATTCTAAAATCTTCATAGTCTCTAAGAAAACACAGTCTTTGTAAAGATGAGAGAAATTGTAGTTTTGTTTTGGTGATGCTTCATCTGCATTTAACTTCTTGTAGTATTTGAGAACGTTTCATTGCTTTCTTATTGGTGAACATTTTTCAGTCATTCATCTAGCAGAGTAATCCTTTTTAAATGTGAATCAAATAATTCCTCTCCCTTCACAGAATCCTCCAATGGTTTCATACCTGCTCAACATGAAACTCAAAGTCCTTGTTGTAGCTAACAAGACCCTAAGTGATCTGGACCTCAGCGTCTTCCCAGACCTCGCCTCTTACAGCTCTCCTCCTCCTTTCTCATGTCCAAGGCCTGTTCACTCCCCAGACACCACCACCACCCACCCAACTGCCCGGTCTTTGCCCCATCGTCCCCTCTTTCTGGAACACTCCTCCCACAGATAACCTCAATGTCTCACACCCTCATTTCTTCAGTTTTCTGCTCAAAGGTCATGGTTTATAAAAGAGTCTCTCCCAGCCATCACTCTAATCTCCTTACTCTTCTTTATTTTTCCTCATGAGACTTCCCACCACTGATATATATTTATTTGGTTGCTTACTGTCATGGAAAGGTGAGTTCTTCAAGGTTGGGGATTTTGTTCTGTTGACTCCAATTTCCAGAACTTAGAACAGCATTCAATACACAGCAAGCACTTGATAAATAGTAGGTATTGAACCAGTGGGCCAAAATCAACAGTAGGTCTGAGTACCTATAAATATGAGTGAGCAGCAGCCCTCGGTGGCATGGAGGTATGAGCGGTGTCAGAGGACTCTGAACAGGGGCACTAAATGTTTCTCATTCCTCCCAGCTCTGTCACTGACAACTGATGGCAAGTGCCTACCTCATACCATGCAACCCTGGCTGAAAAGGGCATATCTCTTTGTCAGATACCCTTAAGAATTCCAAAGGCATATGGCAGCCTTTAGAAGCTGGAAAAAGCAAGGAAATGATCTCTTCCCAGCCGGGCTCGGTGGCTCAGCCTGTAATCCCGCGCCTTTGGGAGGCTGAGGTGAGTGGATTGCCTGAGCCCGCGGGTTCGAGACCCGCCTGGGCAGTGATACCTCATCTCTACAATAAATCAAAAAATCAGCTGGGCGTCGTAGCGCATACCTGTAATTCCGGCTACTTGGAAGGCTGAGGCGGAAGGATCACCGGAGCCCAGCAGGTCGAGGCTGCGGTGGCTGGGAGCGGCCAACGCACTCCAGTCTGGGTGACAAAGTGATACTCCAACTCAAAAAAGAAATAAATAAATAAATAAAATGATTTCTTCCCTATAACCTCCAGAAGGAACATAGTCCTGCTAACACTTTTATTTTTAACTCTATAATACTCATTTCAGAATTCTGACTTCCAGAGCTATAATATAATAAATCTGTGTTGTTGAAATTGTTAAAAAAAAAAAAATTCCAAAGGAGGTGTGAAGTCATTGACCTTTAATTTTACAAAGAGAGTCCATCCTGTGAACTGACCTCAGCTCTCCATTAAATGCCTCTACTACCCTCTGGTAAGGATCCTGAGGCAGGGAACCTGTCTGGTTTCTAACGTGGTGGGAATCTATCTCTCCTCAGGTGCTGATCCCCATCTCTTTGTATGTCTCCATTGAGCTGGTGAAGCTCGGGCAAGTATTCTTCCTGCACAATGACCTTGACCTGTATAATGAAGAGACCGATTCTTCCATTCAATGCCGAGCCCTCAACATCACTGAGGACCTAGGCCAGATCCAGTATGTCTTCTCCGACAAGACAGGGACCCTGACAGAGAACAAGATGGTGTTCCGGCGTTGCACCATCATGGGCAGCGAGTATTCTCACCAAGAAAATGGTATGAGGGCTCTCAAGGGCTTCCATTCCTTTTTCTAAAAGGAAACACCCTGCTCTCCTAAGAGAAGAGGAGATTAAAGACATTATCCTGGCTACGCCTGAGAGACCCAAGAAACCAAGAAACTTAAAAAGCCATACTTGCTGTAAAAGTAGTGTTTAGTTCACTATATTTTATATATCCCTACCTCATGTTCATTGTACTTTATGAAATCTTAGTACTTTAAATCCTACCTCAGACCCTGTAGAATTAGGCATATGTCGGGTGCCGGGTAGCGACTGATTGTGTAATTATATAATGTCCTAAGTAGTGTTTGTATTTAGAACTCTTGGGTTAAGCATTGTTAGTCCCAGTTGCCATGCTGACTTCTGCTTTTACAACGGGATGTAAATGTTAAAGCGATAAGCCCCTTTCAGACATTCCTTTGCTGCAGACTTGGAGACGCTAGTAATCTGCCTGCTTGCTCAGGTTAATTTATACGCAGTGACTGTATGAACCTACTTATCTGACATTCCACTCTGCCTGTTGGGTGGGTTTCTATCAATCACGGGCAGTCAGGTTGAAGCCCACGAAAGGCACCTACCAATATCAAGTGTTCCCGTACCTATTAGGAGAGATTACCCAATCATGTAAAACCAAGTTTAGAGTTCTTTCTCCTCCCTCTGTAACGGTGTATAAAGACTGCTTGCCATGCTGGATTGGGGCTCTCGTCCCTGAAGCCACAGCCGGCTTCGGTTCGTGAGCCCAGACTCGAGCCTGAATAAAGACCCTTGTGTGTTTGCATCAGAGCTGGCTCTTTGGTGGTCTCTCGGATTTTGAAATTTGGGTTTAACAATGGTAGTAATAATAATAATAGCAGCTAACATTTATTGAAAGTACTGTTTGCTAAGGTTTTTTTGTTTTGTTTTTCGTTTTTTGTTTTGAGTTGGAGTCACTCTCTGTTGCCCAAGCTGGAGGGCAGGGGTATACTCATGGCCCAGTTGACCTGATGGGCTCAGGTGATCCTTCCACCTCACCCTTCCAAGTAGCTGGAACCACGGGTGCACGCCACCATGCCTGGCTAATTTTTAAAAATTTATTGTAGACATGAGGTCTCTCCTGATTGTTCAGGCTGGTCTGGAAGCCCTGGACCCAGGCAATCCTTTCGCCTCCGCCTCCCAAAGTGCTGGGCTGCTAAGTGTTTTTTTATCCCTTGACACATTTGTATGTCTTATAGTTTCTGCCATATGGGATGCCTTTCTTTCTTTCTTTCTTTCTTTCTGGAAAAGCTCATTCTTTTAAAGGCAAATTAAAAATATTGTTCTCTTTCTCTTTTTTTTTTTTTTAGTTGGAGTCTTACTCTGTCACCCAGACTGGAGTGCAGTGGC